AAAATTTAGTATCAGATTTTTTCATTCCCATATTATACAATTTTTCCCAAGAACCATCTGATTTGGAACTTATCATCAGACCTCTACAATATGTCCATTCCTTCCACCATGGCAAAACTCTATAATATCCCCCAAAAAATAAATAAAATAAAATTGATCAAATAAATTAGACATCGTACGAGATATCTACAAAATATCTACTAAAAAACATTATAAATATATGAGAAAACTCACTTATGCTCTTCAGGTTTTTCAAGATGTTGTTTTAATATGTAGTTGGCTTCTTGTTTACAAAAGAGGTCATTAAGAATACATGCCCATTTTGCAGCCTCTTCTCGTAAACTTATTTTAAGAACGTCAAAAACTGTATCGTGTCCAAGTTTTATAAGCAGCGTTTTTAACATGTTCCGTACTTTTGTCTAAAAATCGTTGAATAATATAAATTTCTTTGTAATCTCTATAAATTTTATAATGTGTGTGTGTGATTTTTGTCTCTATGAAGAGAAAATGAAAGAGAAAAATAATTTATAGTATTATTAAATGAGATAAAACAAATTTTTGAGAAAATATAATTAAATTTCTTCAGCTGCACGTATTTTATTTTTTTTTACAAATTGCTTGATAAATATTAATATAAAGCCATTATATTTATATGTAAACATCTAGAATCTAGAATATAATATCTTTATTGAAATTTATTAATATCTACCTTGATAACATCCACATTTTTCTCCGGTAATGGAAAGACACTCGATATGTATTCCAGAGCTTTGAGCATAGGATACCATGCCACATAATCTGTCTCTCGCTCTAGATAACTTACGAGATTCCAAAATATAGAAGAATTGAGTTGGCGTGCTAGCATGAAATGAAACGCGTCATCGATAAGTTGGGCACGATTTAAAACATGTATATTCATGTAATTTTCAAGATTTAAATAATTCGAAATTCTTCGCCAATTCTCATCATCATAGTTCACGCGATAATATCCTGTCAAACAATAAAGAAATTTTATCAATCATTATTCTATCAAATAAATTTATCATAATATTTTTTTTCATATATCTGTTCACACACATATTGTTATTTATATAAAAAATACATTAAGAATGTACTAAAAATTGACTATATCATAAAAAAATAACAAATATAAATTTAAAATATTAATTATAAAATTGTTACTCTGATAATTAAAATAGCATACAAAAAATTAAATTGTGCGAGATATTTTTTATATAATATAAAATAAAACCGTTTCTGGTTACAGTAAATAATAATCAAACTACTATACAATACAATTTCTGTAACTATAATATATAGTTATACTATATATTATATTATAAAATAATATTATAGTTATATAATGTATACCTTAGATTTTTATAAAATAATGTAGATAAAAATTTAAAATAATGTGAAACATTAATTGTATAAAATAAATATGGAAAAGTTTATCATTAAATATTTACCAGTTTGTTGTATATTAAATATCATCCAACCATCTTCTTTGAAACTTAATTCAAATGAGTAATACGGTATTTTATTTAGCCAAATTTGAGCTGAAGTATTGTCAAAATTGGGATACTTTTGCGTAGTAAAAGATATAGGTATGCAATAATACTTTGATGTATTAAAATTTTGTATTGTTATATTTATTGAATTCATAGGATCATTATAATCTCGTATTATTTTTATGATAGGATAATGCTTTTGTTCTGGCCAAGTCTCCATTGCTTGTACCACTCCTAATATATCTGGTTTGTATACTTGATTTGTATTGGTTTGTTGTTCAGCGATAGCTATCAATATAGCTCTTTGAAGACTGCCGTAATTTGGCTCGCTAAATTCTCAAAATTTATAAAATTTAACATTTACAAATATGTTAAAACATCGTAAAAAAATTTTAATGAATATTATCAAAATATAAAGTTATATTTTCGTTTATATGATATACATGATAGAAATAGTAATAAAATTAGGATTTAAAAAAAATCAGTAGTAGATCTAAAAGAATGGCATTATAGTAAAACTAAAAAACAAGATAAATGAAACAAGAAGCAAAAAAATAAGAAACAATTTTTAAAATCTTTTATTATTATACTTAATATATTTAAATTTATGCAATTACAATTTTATTATAATGTATTACTCACGTGTTATATACATATAAGCGGATGCCTTCCCAAAATATTTCTTCACTAATTGCGTGTTGCAACATGCGCAGTATAATGGATGCTACGACAAATTATGTCAATAAAATTATTATTAGATATATTAAAAATAAATCTATTACACAGTGTTCATTTGTGAACGTACTTGATTTAATGAAAAAAAATTAATTACAAGTTTTAAGTATCTATTTAAAAACACATGTTTTTTTAAGAGTATATATAT